GAGATGCAGCCCTTGAATTCTTGCTTAAAGAATAAAATAAAATAAAAAAAAAAAAAGAAATCCTAGGGATCGGTTTGTTTGCTTAGCGATTAAGTCAAAGCAGCTCCTGAATGGTCACCTAATCCGCCCGGGAGTGGGTGGCATTGTGTAGGTGGTGGCAGTGGTGGCTTTTTGCCAGACAAATAATCCTCCTCCCTGCCATGGCTCGTGGTCGGGCTGGGCTCAAACACCTCGCCGGCGTCGGCTGCTCTCTGGGCTGGGGCTCGGGGAGGGAGAAAGGGTGCTGGGTGCAGGGAAGGGGCTGGGAGAAGGACGGAGGGACGAGGGAAGGGGCTGCAAGGGCGGATGAGGGAAGGGATTGCAGGGTTGCAACCTTCTCCGCTGCCTGTGCTAAAACCGGGCTGTTGCCCTGCGGGGCTGTGTTTTCCCAAGGCTGGGAAACAGGTTAAACTCCTTGATCTGGGAGCAAAATCCCAGCCCGGACCTGCAGGGACGGACCTCACCTTCCCCGGGGGCTCAGACCCCCCCAAGTTTATGGGGCCGTAGCAAACCCCTCCGGCTGCTTTACGGTTTTCCTCCGGTGCCGGCCTGAGCTTGCATCCCCCAAAACCAGGGAGCCCAAAGCAAATCCCCAGGCTCCGAGCATCTTCCCGCAGCTCCAGCTGGCTGCACCGCCTGCTTTATCGGGATGCAGCGCTGAATTTTCCGCTTAGCAAGAGCAAGCGGAGGCAGCGCGGGGTAAATCCATCCGTGCATGTCCCCGGTGCCATTTGCTTTTGGGCACACGTCGCCAGGACCCTGTGGGAATCGGGAGGGAATGGGGCAGGGGTTTCCCCTTGTGCTGGTTTTGGCTGGGATAGAGTTAATTTTCTTCCCGGTAGCTAGTGCGGGGCTGCATTTTGGATTTGTGCTGGAAACAGTGTTGGTAACACAGGGATGTTTTTTTTTTTAACAGTGTTGATAACACAGGGATGTTTTCCTTACTGCTGAGCAGTGCTTACAGAGTCAAGGCCTTTTCTGCCTCTCACCCGACCCCACCAGCGAGCAGGCTGGGGGGGCACAAGAAGTTGGGAGGGGACAGTTGACCCCAACTGACCCAAGGGATATCCCACACCATATGGCGTCGTGCTCAGCATGTAAAGCTGGGGGAAGAAGAAGGAAGGGGGGGGACGTTCGGAGCGATGGCGTTTGTCTTCCCAAGTCACCGTTAGGCGTGACGGAGCCCTGCTGTCCTGGGGATGGCTGCACCTGCCTGCCGCCGGGGAGGAGTGAACGAATTCCTTGTTTTGCTTTGCTTGCGTACACGGATTTG